AGAACAAGTTATGTTTACAGCGTTTGACTGTGATGCCATCGAACCTTTCCCTCGTCTTATTGTAGAGGCCATTATTCAGTTAGATATTACCCTACACTGTAAGTTTAGGTCTTAGGTGAGGATGCAAGGCTTTATGCTTTAGGAGTAATTCACGCCTCCACATAGCAACACTGAATCCTGCAGCATGTAAAGCAGTGTGTTTTTCTAAGTTGACTTTTGTTTCAGTTGATGTCTGGCATTATGACCTGTGTGTGTGTGGACATTTTGAAAGAGATGGGGAGCATCCACCGCTTATCAGTTCAGTCTATAGTGTTATTATTATTAGTGCCTTAGTCGTTTACTCATACAACGTCTGCTGCTGCAGCGACAGCTTCACGTAGAAGACAAGTTTTTGCTCGGAAACGTCGGTTCCTGTCTGTGGTATTTTAACATGCTGTTCCTTTAAGTGCTGAAACAACTGCGCCTCCTTTATCTCTCCTCTCTGCCACTTGTAAAGCCTTTTCTGGGGGTGGGGTGTCACAAATGGACTGTCTGCCAGTCAGAAAATAAAATGTGTTTGAAGTTTAAAATGTATTATATTACATATGAATACATTTTTGTACTGAATTTTATGGGCATGTAACCACAGTGCTTCTGAACTAAAACACTCACCAGAAACAAGTGTTTCATCCCATATGCTTTGTGTGTAATGAAGTCCCCGACATTTTATGGATGAGGTATTTTTTTTTTCTTGTGCTTTTAAGATACTTTGAAAGATAAATGTGATAGGAATATTTCAATATATCTGTCACTGTTTCATTGCTGTGTGGAGTAATAGAAGTGTTCCCACTACCGTAAAAGTAATTAAATTAAAAGGTTGCCACACTAAAGATGAATGATAAATTAGGATACTGAGAATATCTGGCCTCAATAAAACTTATTTTTTGTATTCAATGAAAATAAAGCATTTCAATGTAAATGATGTTTTGCATGTTTTTTTTTTTGAGTCACCAGCATTTCTGTGGAAATTTTCTACATATGGAAGAGTGCTGTTCAATCTGAAAAGGATATGACACAACAAACTTACCTGGTGATTGCTGAAGTCTCCTAGCAATCACCAAAATTGGGTCCTATACAAATGACTACTTTTATTTTATTTTCTATCAGTAAAAATAGATTTTCTGATTTAAATCAGATTTCTGCTTTTCTGGTTGAGATTCCAGGACCATAAAGACTCAGCTGGGATTTTCTCTTGTCATTCTTATGTAACTTTTGCTTGTGAAATACTTTTAATACTGCTAGTTTGAACAGTTTGTTTTTACAGATACATTTGGAATAATTTTCTCTCTACATCAGCAACACACTGACTTGACTCAGGCCGAGTCAAGGTCTTCTGAGGAAAAGCAAGAGAGGTCAGTTCTGCCAGGAAAACAAGGTTCCCTTTTTATTCACAAGGCAAGATAGCATTTCTGAGTCAGCACAAATTTAAAGGGATATGTTGAGTCCAGACTATGTACCGAGACTCGTGCTAAATCTGTCCGGCACTAAAATCCAAGGAGGCGACGTCAATTTCAGCGGCACAGCTGCTCCTGGGACGGAGTTCAAATCTGCCTTCCATCCTCTGATATTTACTCAAATCAGCAATTCTGAAAATGCTTACTGAAATTACTTAAATCCAGTTTCTTTGCTACTTTGACTTGGCTCAGACGAAGGAAGAAGAACTTGGCTAAATTAACGATGGCATTGAATTTAATGTTGACTGGCAGCAGATAGAAGGCATCTCATCTAGTATTTTCCTGTTCTAAATCTAATTCTAATAAAAGTCAGAGGGCCGATACTGTTACTGATGACGACAGCAGATTACATGGTGATGCTGGTACTTTCATGCGACTAAAACACCTGTTGTAACATGGAGGCATTTTTTTTCTCCATTTTGTTACAGTTCTGAAATATTTAAAAAATTTTCAAGGGGTCTCACCTGCTAACCTGATGGACTTGTGACATCCAGAAAGTACTATGCACTTAATTTGTGCATGTTGATAGTTTAGTGAGATCTCACCTACTGTACATGTTGTAAAGAAAAGTGTTAAGATGAAAATTTGGAACCTCAACTTTAATCCTCCATAAAATTTTAAATACTTTTTAAAAATTCAAAATGAAATATCCTTCAACATTATACTATCCATATATCACATTAAATTATACACAGGTGGATTTATGTAGATGTGCTATGTAGGTGACTTCTGGATATCAGAATAAATGTGTTTGAATACAAATGTATATCACACTATTTCAAATGAAAATTAGAAAACAATAACCTTTGTTGGCTTAGTGCATAAAATCTCATAATATGTTGAAAGTTGTGTTTTTAATGTGATGAACTGTGAAAAGTTCAATTGAACTTACTTGGGCAATACAGTGTAAGCGCTGGCTCAAATGGTTCGATAGGCAACCTAAAAAATAAAATAAGAACCTTAAAGAATGTAATAATATGTTTGGAAACACCACAAACAAACACAATCAAAGAAACAGAAAACAATCTTGAAATGCATAATCTCCAACAATTAACGCATAACACTTGTTTTGTCAAATTTCAAAAGCTTCAACATCTCACTTCTGACTCAAAGCATTAATATATTATTATGATTGGAAATTCAAAGAATACTGAGGGGTAGTTCCAGGTAATCCATTTACCTGTTTTTGCCTATATTGTATGTTTTATTCATTTCATTTCACATTTTGTTGAATAAGCTGTCTCTTTAATATTCATAGAAGAAGCCCAGCTTCTAAATGTTTGCTAGATCCATGACGATCTATTCTGAATCAATAGCTCCTTAGTGTTATCTCTTAATCTTTAAATTCAGTATTAATGGAAGTGTTTTGTTCTGAATCAAACGCCTGATCCAATCAGTCAAAGTTATCATTTGCTGGACAGGTACAACGTGATGATCTTTGTCTCTTCATTTATTCAGAGTCTATGGGTGACACGGATTGTGCCCTGAGGCTGTCTGATCTCTTACTATGACTGGCATGCGTGACTGGCTGCTAAGGGCTCCATAAAACACATGGCAGGATGACAACATGGTGACAGCTGACTGGCTCAAAAAAGCTTCACGGGAAAAGACGTTGCACACACCAGACCACCAGGAAATAAAATAGAGAGTAGGGTACAAGCAACCTTAAAAAGATCAGCAGCATGAGTCTTTTATTTCATCTGTTCCTCGTGTTCAAACTTAAGGTCACAAACTGACACGCAGGAATTCGCCCACAGGATTTTCTTATGTAGCACATCATTTATCTTTCCATCAATTAAGGCCAGTCATTCAGGTCCTGAAGTAGCTCAACAGCCCAAGCAATTACACTACCACTACCATGTTTGACTGTCATATGCTTTTCTGAAATGCTGTGCTAGTTTAACCGTGAGTGTACCAAGACACCCCTCCAACTAAAAACTCATCTTTTTGCAATTAATTTTAATTGATTGTAAAATTAATTTTAATTGATTGTAAAAAGATGTTAGTTTTTTTGTTCACTGCATTTTGTGATCAATATCTTGAAAGGTATTACATCATCAAAGTTTTACTTACTTGCTCTGTGACCCTCCGCAGACTGATAAAAGTTAGTTACTGTTTCTCATCTGCTCTCTGAGTTTTTATTACATGTTTCAGACAAGCCAACCATATGTGATTTATTGATTCTGCAGTTCTGACGGAAATCCTACCTGGGCGTGGGGGTGAAATTGTAGCCATCTTTCCAAAAAAATATGTAATTTATTACATTTAATTTCTGATTCATTACAAGGGCAATAACTTTTTGAAATAGAGCCCAGTTGGTTCTGGTCAACTCTCTGCCCTTTATAAATGAAATTATTATTTGAATCTTTCTTTTTTCTTTACATTTACATTCATTTGATAGTCTTAAATATTTAAACCTGATGACAAAAAGAAAAATAGAAGAAATCTCTAATGGAACAAATATATATATTTTTAATAGAACTTTAGGAGGCCTGGATGGTGTCCAACAGGTGGCACACAGTTCATCAGATCCTAAAATACACTCTCAACAAAACACATGCAGATCATAAAGGCCAATGGAAGAATAGCATGAAGGAATAGCCTGAGTTATTTTTCAGACAAGTACGCAAAACTGAAGATAATACTTTTTAGTAAAGACATATTTCTTCTTCTCTTATTTTGCTGTCAATATGTGCAAAACCATTCACTTGTCTTAACAGCAGGCTGTGGGTGACATCAGCGACTGTGGCTCAGAACTGTGACAGTGGGAGTTGTTTAAAATGCCAAAGCTTCTCTTTTGTCCCCCACAAATACCAACGCTTTCCCTCAAGCCCATTTGTGACAGAACTCTGAGGAATCCTTAATCCACCACAGAAGGTGGACAAGCTCAACGGTTTGGTCGTACGATTGATCCTCTGTGATTGCTGCCTCGGTGTTGAGCTATGTGTAAGGGAGCTGCTGAAATGATCAGTGGAGGATGAGCAAGCCGCTCCGGCTAACATGACATGCCTCAGAGTGAGAGGGGATTTCACAGGGGCTTATCCAATCACCTCTGTGTGTTGTGTGTGAATAGTTGTCATGCTTGAAATGCTAAAGTAATTTATCGGAACAGATGTCTGAATGAACAAGGTAGCAAATATTCAAATTATTTTTTTTATAAGAGCAAATAGAAAATTATTCAACAAATGTTTGTGATCAGTTTGTTTTCTTATCTCAGTGTTTTTGCTTCATCTTTCTAAGTGATAACTGAGTGAAGATTATCTCCAAAGTAGCCTCTCTTGGAGCACAACTACCTTTTGACACTCCTCTTCCTCTTGGAGGGTGATAGAAATAGGAGAGGACGTCTTGCTGAGAGGTGTGGAAGTGGGAGGGTTCCTCTCTGACGCCTGCACCCCATGTATAGTCATACAAGTGGTCAAATGTCCTGGGAGAGCGAATCGGTGCAGAGATTTGAGTAAAAACAAAGGGCCCGTGTTGGTCAACAGCTGCAGCCCTTTCCAAAAAAGCATTGGGTGTCCAGTATCTGACTTATTTGACTCTCAACAGGCTCTGCGACTTCACACTCCAGCTTGGTGTTCAGTGTGGTTCAGACGCTCCCATCTTTTCTATTCGGGTTCACAGATTTGCAGCCAGTGCAAACACTAAGCAGCCATGGATGCTATCAAGAAGAAGATGCAGATGCTCAAGCTTGACAAGGAGAATGCCTTGGACAGAGCTGAGCAGGCCGAGTCAGACAAGAAAGCATCTGAGGACAGAAGCAAACAGGTAGGTGTCTGGTTTAAATCTGTTCTTGTGTTTTGTACTATTGTGCCTGTGCAGTCATGTGTTCTCATGTATAGGATCAAGACATAAGAATCTTTCATGTTATTATTATTTTCTGTCATATTATAATTTTATGAATGGAATATGTAGAGAACAGCTGAATTTTATAAGAACTGAGGCTGTTATATAAAGTTAGACAACAAGATAAAATGTCTTTGGAGCACAACAAGAACAATTTCTTTGAATTTTGTGATTGCTTAAAGCAAACGATACTGGTTTCTCTGTGCACCAGCTCGAGGATGACCTGGTAGCACTGCAGAAGAAGCTGAAGGCCACTGAGGATGAGTTGGACAAATACTCTGAGGCCCTGAAGGATGCTCAGGAGAAACTGGAGCTTGCTGAGAAGAAAGCCACAGATGTGAGTTTGAACTGAGGGGAGAAACAATTTCAGTAAAATAATGCAACTCCCCATGCAGATTGATGCTAATTCTGAGGTACCAGAGTAACATGTTACAAAATACACCTATGCATAGGTTGCATATGAGGAATACAAGGGTGCCGGTAAATTTAGCCCTTGTGCTGGATATGGTAATGTCACAGTTCACAGGCTAACTGTTGTGCCATTTGGATGAATGTTATTGCCAGTATCCAGTTTCAGTCACGCTTTTTTACAGGCACATGGACTGAAAAAATCCTTGATATATTTGTGGTGTTTCTGGGATCAGTTGGCACACCCAAGGTCAGCCCTACTCAGCTGGATCAAAACTGTTAATTTGGTTTAATGTTTAGTCAATTAACCTATGCCATGTTCAGTAAAAAAGCTCATAAAACAGCACTTTGGTCAAAGATATTCTAAACTTAGGTTTAGATTAAACCTAAGTTTATTCTAATCAGCTTAGAGTAAACTGACCAATTAGGTGACCAATAACAATGAAATATTTAGCAAATGTTCTATGAAGTTTCTGTTTTCTTCTAAATAAATAATAAATAAATAAATAAATAAATAACTTAATGTAGAAAAAATTCAGTTAATAAGAAAATTAACAGAAAGTATTTTGCCTGTTTTTTTTGGTGTCTTAGAACACTAAAATACTTTCTTTTGTACATTTGGCAAATCAGATATACAAATGAAGCTACATCGAAATCAGAGTTAATTATTTCTCTCTCTCTCTCTCTCTCTCTCTCTATATATATATATATATATATATATATATATATATATATATATATATATATATATATATATATATATATATGTGTATAGCAATTAAATGCAAATTTGTTGACATTGCATTTAATTGTTGATATTAAATGCAATATCAACAACTAAGGACCACTGTAATTGTAAAATTTGGAAGAACTGATTTCATGAGAGTTCGTACAATTACAGTGGACATCATGTATCAGTTGTTATATGTTAGATGACACTTTAATAAATACTGGCTCTGTTTTGTTCTTGAAAGTACTGCAGCAATTTGCAGGAAAAAATGTTGTTAGGCTGAAACATATTGTTTTCAAGAGAAATCAACACTTTTTGCATATTTGTCCAGTTATGTAAATAACTGGACAGAGTTGTCATCTCCAAGTTTACGGATCACTCTCATTTCCTTATTGTGTTGCGCTATGAACAATATTTTTGTTGTTTTGTTGTTAAAATACAGAGTTTGAACAGTCAAGAGCAAAATGCTCAATGATGGGTGAATGGAACCATAGCACACAGAGAGCCCAGGCTCACTCAGATTAAGATTATCACTGAATTACCATCAACAGTATTAGAGCAAACAGTATTAGAGCAAATTAAAACATGTGTTTAACAGAAATATTTTTATTATATACCCATCTTTCACTCAATGTACAAGACCAGCCCAAAAAGTCTATTCCAGAAATTAAAGTCACACAGAAGATTTGACAAATGCATTGCAAACGTACACATTAAGAGCTATGGGGAAATAGCTTCATGGCTTGAAATGTATGTTAAATTCAATTGTAATTTAAAGCTAATAATATCCTTTCTTCTACTCTTGTCTGGGCTGGTAATTGTGGTAATTTTTGTAATCACTACTGGAAATTGCAGTATGGCAACACAAAAAGGAAGATAGTAAACACAACAATACATTACAATGCTAAAATTTATATATTTATATATATATATATATGTGTGTGTGTGTGTGTGTGTTGTGTGTGTGTGTGTGTGTGTGTGTGTGTGTGTGTGTGTATGTGTGTGTGTGTCAGTGTTTACTTATTATTGCAATTTTTATGCCTCGGCATAATTGACAGAAAAATATGCATAAAGGAAAAATGCACCGAAAGATTTCGTAAACATTGCTGTCCTTATTTAGATGTCAAATTAAGTCAATTAACAGTGCAGGAGTAAACTGTGATGTCTGGGCTATGATCTTGATGGGACTGGCTCAATTTAAGATTCAGGGATGCAAGTCAAATCGCAACACAATTATTTGAATCTATATCTCCACAAATCCACAACAAACCACACAAAACCACAACTGAAGACGACACAAGAACAATCCATAAAATTTATCTTTTATTCGGTGGACGCGTTTTATGGTTTGCGGGTGAAATGAGTTACTTCCGGGGCTGGTGGCACGTCCCAATCCTCATCAGTGGTTGATTAAAGGCGGTGGGGGCAGGGATCAAACGCGAAGCATCCCCAACAGCGGGCGAGGCGGCCAGCGCACAGCCGGGAGAAAACTAGCTTAGCTCAGGCAAAATTAAACGACAAAGCGAAACAATGGCCGGTGGAAGCTCCCTGGAAGCCGTGAAGAAGAAAATCAAGTCGCTGCAGGAGCAGGCCGACTCGGCGGAGGAACGGGCATCGTTGTTGCAGCGGGAACGGAACCAGGAGAGGAGCGCGAGGGAAGCTGTAAGCTGCTAATGATTTAAGGCAATTAAGGCTCTTGGCTGCGGGAGGCATTAGGTGCAAAGCTGGTCAAAAAGCGTGGCCGCGAGGCCCAACACCCCGCGGTTCCTGTTCGAGCTGTGCCCAGTGGGTATCGAGCCAATGAGTCTGAGCTCAGTGGCTCAGCGTCGGAGGTGAGGACAGGATGGTGTCTGGAAGGGACACCACCCTGAGCGCTCCGGATAAACTGGCGGCCGCTCCGGTAATGAAAGGCTGACGTGAGAGCAGGTCCTCTGAGGGAGATAAAACCCTCACTGACGGTGCCACCAGCTCGTTTAAGTATGGGGAGGTGCCTTTATCCTCAACTAAGCCTTGTTTTACTTATTGGTCGAGTAGGAATTGTGTAGTTTACAAAATTATGTAGCATTTTCTTCATGCACATTGCTAAAACGTCAATTTATAATGACATAAATGCAGTTTTATTCCCTAACCAGACTCCAGAATCTGCATAATGCACCTTAACATTCCTTCCCCACTTGCTCCTAGAGAAGCTCCTCTTGTTTTCCAACACAGACCTGATTTATCAGTGCTTGACCAATAAACTTGATCTGATTTTGGTTGTGTTGCTCTCTCCAAGGCTGAGGGTGATGTAGCTTCCCTGAACAGACGCATCCAGCTGGTTGAAGAGGAGCTGGACCGAGCTCAGGAGCGTCTGGCCACAGCGCTCACCAAGCTGGAGGAGGCTGAGAAGGCTGCCGATGAGAGCGAGAGGTGGGTGGTCAACATCTCTCTCCTGTTCAAATACAAAGGTCATTATTTAAAAAAAAAAAAGATCTGAGTCAAAAACTAAAAAAGGTGGATTGGTTGACCAAGTACTCGAATTAAGGGAGTTTCCATTTTTTGATCAGCCAGCAGAATGTGCAATGATGCAGGTTTTTTGTTTCATTAGAAAAACAGATGGTTAGAAACAAACTTTGATACATTGTATTTTTTTTTAAATTTCTTGTTGTTTAATCCAAAACCATTACTTTGACATATTGTGTTGCTTTAAAATAAAAATTTTGAATCAAATCTCAACACAGACAACTGAAAACATGCATGGGTCAGGAAAAAGCTCTATTAGAAATAAATCACTGCATATTCATGTTAAACATTCTTTTTGACTATGCTAATTCTTAAGGTCTTATGTTTTGTGAATTTCTTGTCTTATTGTTGGATTCTCTGGATCACTTTCTTTTATTTTCAGAATAATGAATATGCCCAGTATTTGAAACCTGTTAAAAAAGGTTTATTTTTTTCTTTCTTCCATTCAGAGGCATGAAAGTCATTGAGAACCGAGCAATGAAGGACGAGGAGAAGATGGAGCTGCAGGAGATCCAGCTGAAAGAGGCCAAACACATCGCTGAGGAGGCCGACCGCAAATATGAGGAGGTGAGTTTCTCAGCTCTTTACTGGACTTTACTGCCTTCATGTTCACAGTAGAAGCATAAAAGCATTTTGGATCCGTTTGGTGAAAGAACGTCGTGCTGTGATTGCAGGTGGCCCGTAAGCTGGTGATCATTGAGAGCGACCTGGAACGTACAGAGGAGCGTGCCGAGCTGTCCGAGAGGTAGCATCCCCCTTCCTCCATTTGTTCTTGGTGACAACTTAAATAGGATTTACAATGTACTTTGTTCTTTGCTGACACTATGCAGTAAATGCTCTGAGCTGGAGGAGGAGCTGAAGACCGTGCAGAACAACTTGAAGTCTCTGGAGGCCCAGGCAGAGAAGGTAGGCCGATTAATTAGGTTTGATGACATCTTAATGTAAACTCGTAGGGGACATGATGAGTCCTGCAGGTTTTCTGATTTCAGTCTTTGTTTGTAACGACAGTACTCACAGAAGGAGGACAAGTACGAGGAGGAGATCAAGGTTCTCACAGACAAGCTGAAGGAGGTGAGTGAGCTGCAGTTGTGCTGAATTCATCTCTGCATGTGTAACAGTTTAGAAAATATTTCTGTTTCGTTCATCCTATATTGTCCTCGATTTGACATTTTACAAAAAGGTCTGCCTTACTGGCTGCTTTTTAACAATTGCTTACTTAGCACTTTTAATTTCAGCCCATTAAGGCTTCAGTTGTTAATGTAAAGCTCTTAATGGCGGTTTGCTGATGTTGCTGTGTTGCTCCGCTCAGGCTGAGACTCGTGCTGAGTTCGCTGAAAGATCAGTTGCCAAGCTCGAGAAAACCATCGACGACCTGGAGGGTATGACTACTTTACTTTCACTCTTCATTTGCCTAAAATGACTTGTGCTTGATTAAAATTAAAGGGATTTCTACTTATTCATGTGGTCAAGTGAACAGCATAAGCTGTAGCTGCTGAGACTTTAAATCAAAGTAAAATGAATATTTGTCTCTGAAAGATGCTAATGCACTTCAGTGCTTGACAAAGGTGCTGTAAGGTTGTGATTGTAGTCTGAATGCAGAATCGGTCACAGTACAACTTTCGGCACAAACTAATTTGTTGGTGCCTCTTGGTAAAGATGGTGTTAAATTAAAACAGTCTTGTAGAAGTGTTGCAAATTCACAAGAAGTGATAAGAAAAACCCAGCACTGAATATGAGTGCATGTCTTGAGTGCGCGGATCAACAGATGTTTGGAACTAGTTATTGATCCTCCAAAAAAAATGGCTCAAGTGTTGATGGATTAGTCATTCTTTACCATCTTATGGCATTTTAATATCTCAGTCTCTACTCAGGTAGTGGTTAAAATAATCCTTGGGAAGCGATACATTGTTGCTTCTCGTCCATTTTTACCATAGAAACATTTTACTTAATATACTGGAAGTCTTGTGTAAGCTGCTAATTCTACTAAATTTTTTAAACAAAAAAATTCTTTTTTTGTTTACAAATCTTGAAAGTGCTATAAATCCTTCCGTTGCTAAACAGAAACAAGTGCAAAGGGCCAAGAGTGAGGGCCAACAGGTGCAATGGGATTCAACTCATGGTTCCTGTTAAAATCCCAGTTGAGTTTACCAGACTGTTTACATTTGTGATGGAAGGCTGTCCCCCTCATCTCTCAACCACCTCACAAGGCATGTAATATGTGTCAAGCAGGTGGGCAAAGGACAGGGCTAACACTAGAAACTGGGTTCATCCTAAACTTGAAATTTGTTTACAAACCATGAGGACCTGTGACACTGTGGGCCTGTTGGATCTTGCAGAAGCTTTGAGAATCTTGTTAGAAACATGATTTTATGTGGCCTTTATGTACCAGGTAGATTTTAATGAGAATGATCAATTGCCCTCTACCAGAAAACTCAAAATAGGTTATTGAATATCATAATCCAAGCTGTATGGACAAATCACATGCAGTCAACATTTCCTGTGGTGACTGATCTCAGTTCCCAGACCTAATTCCTGCAGGACATCCTGTGGGCTGAGCTGAAGAGGTGAAAACGCATAACTCTGGACAAAGTAGAGTTTCTGTAAATAGGAATGTAATGGTCTATCTTCGTACTTTCAATTATTATAACAAGACTAATTGATGTCTCCCATTTACAAAAATAATGAGGAGGTGTAGTACAAAGTATTTATGGAAAGCATGCCAACAATTGTCATGAAGGCTTTAGTTATGCAATTATTTGGTATTTGTTTTCCTATAGTCTAAATATAGCTAAAATAAGGAAAAGTTTGATTTATTTTAAGGGTTTTTCCACATTTCCAGTAGTATCAGGAAATGTTCCATGCCTGTCTGCATGGTGAGTTGTTGATCATAAGAAAAAAAGCATAAGCGTGACATTATTTATGTTGGCAATATTTGTCACTACGATGTGGTTTGCCACTGTTCAGTCCTCGGCATTCATCAGAGGGTCACGGAACATGTGAAGCAGGTTTTCCGACTCCTCAGGAATTTGACCCGACATCAGCAGCTGTTCCTTCACCCCTCCTTTTTTCTGCACCTCCTTGTTTCTTTTAGCTATTTCTATTTTCACTTTTGCTTCTATGCTCTGACATTTATATTTTCTGTTTTTGTTTTTACACCATCCACTGCCACTTAATAACAATTACAATTTGGTAGATGAGCTGTATGCCCAGAAACTGAAGTACAAGGCCATCAGCGAGGAGCTGGACCACGCTCTCAACGACATGACATCCATGTAATTTACAACATGCTTGGTTTTTGATTTGTGCTTTAGATCCCACTAGGGCTAACTGGCATCTTAGTAGCTCCCCCTTGTGGCATGTTGACTGCAGTGAACTAGTTTTAGCCCTAGATTTAACCTTTTTACTAACACCATAGGTTATATTAGGCAAATTGTTTTTTTTTTTGGAGATTCCCAGTTTTTCTTTCTTACCCTCTCCTGCATCATAACAGCATTTAATTTCCCAACTTTCAAGTCCTCCCTGCATCCAAGTTTCTTTTGCTTTGCTTATTTTCTTTTTCCCCTCCAACATCTGTTCTTTTGTGTTTTCACAGCTAAACCTTTTCACTCTTCACTGTGGAAGCTTGTCGAACAACATTTCACTCCTGTGCAGCTCAGCCCGACTTTCTATATCTTTTTTTTTTTTTTTTTTTTGTCTATTTGTTTATTGCCCTGCCAGGACTGCACACCGGGCTTTTGCTGCCAGCACCTCTTGTTCCATGTCTTACAGATTTTTGAGCCATATTGCTTTCTGTGAAATAAACAATCTTTCATCTATGTCTATGATCCATCTTTCCCTTTCTGTTTTCTTTATTTGTTCTTTTTTGTTTCTTCACTATTTAATTTATTTTGATAGCTTAAACTCTGTATCTCCTTCCCTATTTGTTGTTCATTTCTCTGTTTGAGGGGACGATCATGGAACTCCTGATATTATTGGTTTGACTATTATTAAAGTAAATGGAGCATTTTCAACACTATCGGAGCTGTTTCCAGTTTGTATTCAGAAGTTGGTGAATTCTAAGAAGAAACTATGAGTGGGCCAGTTTAAGAAAAGAGCTTTAACATCATATTCAGCCAGTTGGTGTTAAAAATAGTTCAAACAGTTAAATGTTTCATTCAAAGACATTACATGTGCCGTTTATTGCTTGATGGAGGTGGAAGTTTTGACCCACCAAGTAATCAAGAGATTGCAAGGTTATCATCATTATACAAACTTTTTATATGTTTCACTAATCTCAAAAATCAAATCAAATGAATTGTTTGTGTTGAGGGCTCAAAGGTAATCTTTCAGTTTTGACACATTTCAGAACTGGAGAGCAAATTTAAGAATGCTTTAGACTATATACACAGGTCATTCTTAACTTTCCTCTCCACTAGGCAGGAGGCATCTATAGTTGTGACCATAAAGTTCAAGTCTGTTTTCTTTGTTTCGAGAATTTTATTTTGGTGTCTGAGAGGAAAAATATACTCATAGTAAAATTTAAGCTAAATTGTTTACATGTTTATTTGAATCTCAATAAAAAACTAGATCAAAAAATCTAACTTTACCTAATTTGCTGTCGAGATTGGTTTTATTTAGTGTTGCCTCCTAAGGGTGTATATATATATATATATGGAGACAAATGCCAAATGGCATGTAAGCTTTACCTGAACACAGTTGAGAGGTCATCTGCTCAGTCTGTCAAAGGTGTGTGAGTTTTGGAGTGCAGGTCATTCAAACAGCCTGGTCATACAGTTGAACTTAGCAATTCTTTGCAAGCAAGACTAACTTTTAAGTTAGTCTTGGTTAAGGTTAGTGAGTGGAATATCAAGGGACCTAGGAAAAAAAAGACAAATTTATTGGAAAGTCTCAAGATTTCAGTGTTCGTTAAAAAGAAAATCCAATTAGAGGTATACATCATTTAATCGATTGTGGGGAAAAAAATAACTAAGTCATAAAGTCTGTAGGTTACCAGGAGTAAACTAACAGTTTTATACCCAACTTTCTCCACTAACTTTGTCTTTATGTACTAACTTGTCTTCTGTCTCTTTCCCTTTTTTCCTTACTGCTTTCTGACTGTCAAGATCATCTATACAAGCAGCTTGATAAAAACCGTCTTCTGACCAATGAACTGAGAGTAGCCTTAAATGAGGCCTAACCTGGAAAAGGTTTGCTTTATGCTGACACATTTTTATGTCAACATAATCCGAGAGCATTGTGGACTTGTTAGATTAAGCAGGTAGATTCACATCTACACCATAGAAATATAATCAAATTGCAGTATACTTGGATGTTAAAAGATGGGTAATCGGAAAATAATCATGGTGATGTGTTTTTTTTTCCTTTTTTTTCCCCATTGAATTAGTGAGTTGTTTATTTTACTGCAGGTTAGACATGGTCTGCCTCATAGCTAATGGAGTGAGTTACTTCTACATGTAGCATTTGTAGCACAAGCCCCAATAGAAGTTGGACTTGTGTTGGAGCTTCTAAACAAGAAAACCACTAAGACTTGCAATTCACCTCCAGATTGAAGTCTTAAAAATAAATAAAACACCAAGTAGGGTTTCTACATAGTAGATTAACTTAAGATGTGGCTCAAGAAAAATCTTCTCACTTTTGATCCCTAACAAACTACAAAAAGTCAGCTGAGACCAAATCTTTTAGGTTGAGTTATTTCATAGTTAAGACCTCCAATGTGTACTGAGAAGGATGAACACATTCAACATGTATCTGAATGTAGTTTAAGACCCACTGTGGAGAACTGGACTGACTTTCCAAGTACTAAAATTAAGAATATTAAATTTAAGACCACTTAGAAAATTTGATTAAATACACTTCCAGCTTTTTTTTTTTTTTCAAACTCAAAGTGATTTGTCATGCAGTAAAAAGAAATTAAGTTTCTATTTTTGCTTGATTTTAGACTCTGAAAGGTTGAAGTGGCATTTCAGCAGTCATGGATTTGTTTCACAACCTAATTTCAAAGAAAATTATTTAAAGTTGTAATTATTTTAAAAAGTTAAGCACTGACTTCAGTCTAGACTTCATCTCTGTCAATAGCTTGAGTAAAACCTTGTCAAATGTTTCATTAATTTGGGTTTCTGGTACTAGTTTACAGCATGAAGCTTTTCAGATGTACTTGGTAAACACTTAATAGGTGTGGCGGGAGGTGAAATTGATTTTGATTCTTGGCTCATCAGCATGTATGTTTTCTGTCCACCAGAACCTCAACAATGTATATTTTCTGCACTGTTGTCCTAAACTGATATGATGTTGTATTGACAGACAAACTCACACGTGCTAAAGAAGAGGGCCTGAGCATTAAGCAGATGATGGATCAGACCCTACTGGAGATGGTTAATATTTGACCCAGCTATGTTCCTCTCCACTACCTGACTTCACATGTTCTAAATGACCGACTCCCACATGCTGCTGCTGCTACGGTGGTCATGTGGGTCTGTGTTTAGCTGTACCTCTGGCATTGTTGACTACAGGACACACGCTCTGTATGAAGTAGCAGAAAAGGCATTGAGCTCCAGCTCAGCTACAGTGTTTATATTGCACGTTCTGTTCAAAGACCTGTTTAAGTTCACTGTACATGACAATGGTTTACATATGTGTTGGGACTTTGCACTTTTGATGATGAAAATACTGCACATTGTCTTTATGAATGAAGCCATAATTTAAGCCAAGCTTGTATAAAAGGGACTTTTATTATATGTACTTTTGTAAGATCATGTATGTTAGTTTTTTTTTCTTTTGTTATAAAGTTGCATTCAATGTCTAATCTCTTTCCTTCTGAAATTTAAGGACTTTAGCTACGTGAAGCAAACACTTGTGCACTGTTCCATTTCTAACATTTTCTCCCGTGAAAGCTAATTTGCTTGTTTTCCCAGACATTTTTATCTTGGAAATGTAAGAATAAAATATTGAACCAGGTCTTACTTGTTTTATGTATGTTCATTGACAAAAAACATGCAACAAAACCAGAAAATGTATGTGGTGATGCATCCACAACCTTCATTGGCCTTTTTGGGGGGCACTTTGTGATGGACCAAAATATAAAATCTTAATTGCAAAGGGAGAAATTGTTTTCCTGTTTTAGTTTGAGAACTTTAGCAGTTCGTGTGCAGTCTGACAGATGTTTTCTGACGATTTCTTTACGGGTTGAATAAATGGGGATGGGGAAAAAAAATTGCCATTTCCTGCGTTTTACACAGGCTTTTTCTAGAAAGGACTTCCAGGATGATTTTTTTTTTTTTTTGTAGTTTTCTATAGGACAAATCTCTTAACATAGCTTTAAATTGATCTATTATGTGTTTCATCTTTAGTTTGCCAAATCCCAACTTTTTACCCATCAGTTTTGGTTTTAAGTTTGAGGCATTGTAATGTATGAATATGTAATGAGTATTACTATGAAAGGCTGTACCTGCAAATGTAACATTTACCTCATTTCACGTGTTTGCAGACTCCCTTCTCTTCATGAAGGACAAATTTGTGGAGCATATATTACTCTACCTGAGCTATGGCTTTCTGGCCTTCCTCCAGAGTTACTATGGGTCTCATGGCTGAATTGACCTCTTATCAGATTAGGTGAAAGCCATGTCTTGATTTCAATTTATTTTGTACCATACTTTTATTCCAGATGTGGTTGACAATACTACTACAAGAAATGAGATTCCAAAAGTTTCAGATATTGTTTCATAACCTTACCTTGCTCAGATGGACTCTTGCTTAGTGATGAGGTGACCGCTGTCTGTAATTGTTTGCACTGAATTTTATTTAGAGGTAGCAGCTAGAAGCATGGGATACTTTTGCAATTTTATATTTAAAAACACATCAGTTATGTATTTACTTGGTATTAAACAGTTGTGTCCGATGGTGTGGGACAGAAAAGATATCTGATTTCTGGTTGTGAAATGATAAAGGGACATGGTTTGCGTGACACTCCATTGCCACTGTGCAAATTAAATGTTATAGCTTACAATGCATAGTTAGTCAAAATGTTGTGATGTCCTGCAAAATACAAAAGGATTATATATCCTAATAAAGAATTTGGGGAGAAGTAAGAACTTTTAACATAACTTTTAAAATTGTGACATTAGGCTCCCTGATGTTGACTGGATGGAAAAAGCCTGTGCGTTTTACCCTCCGCGCCGCTTGGGGCGGTATTGTAAATTTACAAGAGGGTTCAACAGCCTTGGAAGTGCAGAGGTAAAAGTTCCTATCTGTTCCGGACAAGCGACCGTCGGATATTGAAATATGAGTGAAAGTCTGGATTTTTGCGAACCTTTTCCAGACAGTAAGGCTGCATATGTACTCAGCAATGTCGCCGAGGTGGTTGAGAGAGTTCTCATGTTCATACCAACCAAATCGCTTCTGCGGGTCGCCAGGTAATGGGAAATGTTTACAAGCTAAACTGTTATCTTGGCTAGCCTTAGTCTCCTGAATAAAAAAAAAGGAAGAAAATATTTATTTAAAGAAAAAAGTAAGCCGGAGAGTAACCAGAAAGAAAAATCGTTAGTTGGTTATTAAAGTGATGCTGAGATTGTAAGCAGAGGAGCGTGCTCTTTTTGTTTGGTTGTGGCCGGGCAGCAGGTGAATGTGCGCGTCCTTGTCAGTGTGTGCAGATTGTGGAGGAACTGTGCCCGCAGAGTGCTTCGGATTCAGCAGCATCTGACCTGGGTGTCCGCCTCTGGACCCTCCACCACGGAGCTTCACTCATTCTGCAGCATCCTGGCTGAAGAAGTGGAGGTAAATCGCAAAACTGAAAAGTGTGGCTGGAGATAAACCGAAAAGGAGAAGTAGAGGAGAAAAGGGAAAGGGAAAAAAAACAAAGAACCTTCTTTTGTCGGTTTAAAAGAAATCTCACGGTAATAGCTGCTGTGTTGCTCCTTAACTTGGTTAATGTCCAGGTAGGTCGCTAAATTAGAAGAACAATCGGTAAATGAGTTTATTTCAGCAATTCAGAAAGTGAAACTGAACTGCACACAGAGTGACGTATTACGTTTATTTTCATAATTATGGCTTAGCGGAAATGACAACCCCAAATGCACTTTATCAGAAAACCAAATGTTTATTTACATCAATTAAAAATGAGGTTCTTAAAACTAAAATGTAATTTTACTCTAAGCATAGCCAGTATGTGCACTAACTGTTGTGTTGGAACTCTATCGTTGCAACACAGATCAGCCTTTAGTAGACCCTGGGTGTTAAGGAATCCCAGGTTGCTTTAAAAGTTGCATTCAGCTTTCTGCATTGATGCCTCTGATGTTTCTCATCTTCCTCTCAATAACAGACCAACCCTGTTGGGTGTTTTGGCCATCTCCACATGTTTGGTGAAGAAATGTCAAGTCTGCAGTCTTCCTCATGATTGAACTCCAGTCACTGAGAGCCACTCTCTTGCAACTTTTAGATTCATTCCTGTTCCAACGTGCAACACCTTGGCATATTGAAACCTCCTCAACATATTAAGTTCTGCAGAATATTATAAATTTATGCAACTGTGATGATAACATCAGCAGTTGTAGTATTGTGGCAATGATGGTCACAGTTGCAATATATCCACATTTTTCTGTCTGATCTGTTTCTCATCCATCATTATGATGCTTCCAACACTTTCTGTAAACTTACACGTCTTGGACAGTGTCATCTTTGTCACTTTGTTCAATCTTACCGCATTGAGGTTGAAGACCGAATATTGATTGTACACAAAGTGGTATATATGCTTGTAATGTATCAAGCACATTAATATTGTATTGATATCCGTTTAAGATGTTATGACGCTCTGTAATATGTACATTATTTCACAATTGAGGCAGATATCAAGCAGCTAATAAATTATACAAGTGATTATACATTTTTGCATACTTATGGCTCTATAAATGATGAGTCTGTTAGTTCTGGAACGGATCCGTCTGAAGATTCTCCACAGGACGTGTCAGATTAAATGGAGGGTGTGTGAAATGTTAACTATTTTTGACAATGGTCCTCCATCTGATGAGGCAGTGAGTATAGTAGATGTGTTGCAGAGTGACACATTAAGGAGAATTAAATGTGTTCCTGGGTTAAAATTGATTAGGGCTACTTAAAAACTTTGACTTCTTGGAAGATAAATGGAGTAAAATGATGAATCACCTAGAAGTTTTTCACAGTTCTGTAACTTAGAGGTTACCAACAGATTAATGATGCTGTCTTTCAGCTATAATTACTTCAGGCATCCCAACATTATTCATCAGTTTAACAGTAATTTCTTTCCTGTTGTTTTCAGAAAGTATTCCTCCTGCCTAAAACAGTCCTGATGATGGTCGACTGTGAGGCCTTGACTGGACAAGCTTATTGTTATGAACAGAGCAAAGGTCAGTAGTAATCATTTTCTCTGTGACTCAGCAGGAGGTTTTTATTATTGTTCGTAGAGAACATGTTCTTGAATACAGTAATGTTTGTCTCTTACTGTTTGGACCATTATACTTTTTGTTTTGGCAACTTACAAAAAAAAAAATTATCTTCTTGTTTACTGTTTTCAATTTGGCAATTTTGATTAGCCCTGTAGTCTACTGTATGTTGCCAACTTCACCCTTTTTCTTCTTACTTTACATAAGTATGACATAAAAACGTGATTTTGCTACTTCCGATGTTTTTCATACAACTGAATATGTTTTTGGGACTGTTTCCTAATAAAGTCAGCTTTGTTGAGTGGCAGTTTTAGTAGCTTAGCTGATAAGGAATAAGACGAGATGCAGATTTAAAATATTTGCCTTATTTACATTAGGCCCTCAGCATGTTGAGGTTGTATTTTGGTGAAAATTAATGCATTCAGATTCAAATGCAGCAAACAATACAATATTTGCTTCCCAGAAGCTGCAGAAAGTGGTGCCTTTTAATCTTTTAAATGCGAGATTCTCACAATGTTGTAAATTCAATTTCACTCTTATCTGATGCCTCTTTAATGCCAGTTTTAAATCCAAATAATTGAAAGTTCTGAATCAATTTGATTACAATGCTTTTTCTTCTTCTAAACTGAAGCAAAAAAGAGTCGTCAATGCATGAGTACAGCTGAAGAACTGGACCAGATCTTCCCCAAAGGCTGTGACATCGTTGGCATCGCTACACCAGGCATAGTCTGTGAGTTTTTCTCTCTTTTTTATTTACCTGTGGGGGAGGGATCACACACTAACTCTTTTGCATATAAAATATGTATTTGAACCTGCCACAGTTCTCCACTACTGTGTTTAATCAATGTTGTAAATCTGAACTATAAACATGTAAATGGATTGTACTATGTTTAACCTCTATAAGAAGACCAGTGCATTCTGCCTGCTTGGAAAGCTCCGCTCACGGCTCACATCTTGCTGTGTCTCTCACTGATCGATGGCCCACTGTCCCCACTGCTGAGCCTCCCATTTCTCGTTAAAATCACAGTCCCCTGGAGAAGCGATTCTCCATCAATGTTGTTCTCCTTCCTCCAGAGAATGTGCTTATGAGGCTCTCTGTCTGCCATGTTTAATAGCTGCATGAGCTGATGGTAACAACACTGACATTTTGTAATATTGCAGCCATAGGTGACTAACAGGCTCAGCCTGTTTAACTGATTCTGCTGAAATAAATTGTCAGTGTAGTGAGATTTAAAACATCTCAAATAGCGCTTTATTCAAAATAAAAACAAAGTGATGTCATAATGCAGCTCTTTGGAGTAAAAAGTCACAATCTGATGATCCAATATGCAGTCCACCTTCAGTTTTGATTAGTTATATGTTGTCAAGGACATAATTTCTGTCTTTGTGGAAATGGATCAAAGGTTGCTGCTTAAACCCTTAACTTGAGAAGGTTGGTTGCAGATCTCTATGCAGTGTTGCTCAAAGTACTCCTACAATTTAAACCTGGTGAAGCTCAGCATTTTCAGCTTGTAAAATGAGAGCGCAATCAGAAGACAAAACCTTTATTTTAGTTTGCAGTATATTTGGTCAAATGGTTTTCGACCATTCAGTGTTACTTAACATATTCACAACCAGCTGAAGTGGCCTCAGTCACACCACTGCTCTCTCTTTTATTAATGACCCCAAGTGTGATGGGTGCATCACTTTATCTGGCTATATTCTTATTCTGGTGCTCCATGGATTTCATGTGGGCTGATGAGTCCAGACCTCAAGGATGATGCAGTCTAGACTTAACAGACCACCTTCATTCATGTTGCTTTAATATTTAAAAGTGGTTTTATCATGCATCTTTTATTATTGGTTGCAGAGAGTTAGTTTAGATTTCTTGGCTTAAATGGTTGAAGGAGATGAGATGGATGAGTTGGTGTAAAATAACTGCTGAAGCCGTTTTCCGTATTCAGTCGACAGTTTTCATCCTCTATAATTTCTTCTACCTTCTTTCCTTTTTTTAATCTAAAACATCTCGGCTTTACTTCAGTGTTGCCATAGTCACAAAGAGTAACTATGAGACCAAATACTACATTAGGAATGTAGCAGGAGGCTCGAAGGGCTGATAAAAGTAAGGCACACAAATTTCAGTGTATGTTTAGATTTAGAGCGAGTGACCATCATAATTTGTTGTGCAATTGCATTCAGGCTAAATTGAGGAAGGTACGTTGAGTACAAGTACTTTTTATAGTGTTTGTGAAATGTTTAAATTTTGTTCCACTTCACACTTACGTGCCTCTCTGTGTTGGCGTATCACATAATGGATAAATAAGTAAGTAAGTAAATAAAATGCATCAAAGTTTGTGATTACAGCATGACAAAATATGGAAAAGTTTGATTGAGATGAATAGTTTATCAAGGTGCTGTGTGACTGTGTGGGTAAATTGGTTGTTTCTCTATTAAATCTTTGTGTTGAGCCTGATTAACGAGGTCCAGGTTGCAACTTTACTACTCACTGTTTTACAGCTGGATACAAATACTAGTTAAAAGCTAAATCTGGAACTAGGCGGGAATAGGAATGGATTGCAGGCACTTGCAACATTTATCCTTTTCCAAATTAGTATTTTCTTTCTACTAATTCGGCTGTACATCAACAGTTTGGCTCAGGAATAATTTACAACCTAATTTAACATCCTTATTCAATAAAAGCTTCAGAGTGATTATTGAGGCCATCTGTCTTCTGAACCTTTATATCTATTGTAGGGTGGCTTACGGTTCTCTAATTTCCATAGCAACATATTCATATCCTGGACTGATTACTTTTGTTGTCAGTTTGTGGTTGTTTCATTTTTTTGTTTTTAATTAAAACTCGTATTTCTTTCTGTAATAAAAGCGTGCTGCTGCAGTTCCTCTAAACTCCAGTAGGTGGTGATTTAGAGACTGTAAAAGCCAGCATGAAAGTGTTAAGGATTTATTTTCTTGAATTTTAAGTTTTCATGGTTTGTTTTGCTTGTAACTTAATGAAAAAATAAAAATTGATAAGGTGGAACTTTGAGATGTAGTTTAATGATCACTATTAAAGAAAATTGTTTGTGATGTTTTATTAGAATGAGTAGTTTGATGACTAATAAGGAGTTTGGAAAATGCAGATTATGTAGCATGTATATTCACTCAGCATGGTTTTCACCTTTTTAACAGTAACTCCGACTGGTTCGTGGACCGGTGCTCCTAAGGAGTACCAGGAAGGGGAGGCAGGCTTTGCAGTCATGCTCCCCAATACTGATGGTGTTCACATCAAGCCGTTTCACTTTTGCAAGAAAACAATCTCTTTGTCAGCCATGAAAGAAGCAGGTGAGTGCAGATGTTCAATGAGTTAAGAGAAATCCAATCCTCTGCAGCCTCTTATATTTTGTCTTGTTGTTTTTTCTAGGACTAGTTGACAACCCAGAGCTACGCGTAGTGGTGATGTTCATCTATGAAGCGTATAAATCTGGAGGCGCACGGTTCCTCAGCCAGATCTTGGAGCCGCTGACAAACAGCAAGGCTTTAATTGCAGGAGGACTAGTGGAAGGCGTCTTCTCTCCTCCCAGAGATTGGTGAGTTTAAGGTTCCACAGTGGATTTGACAATTTAATACATATGGCACAGTTTTCAACATCTCAATCTCTGTAGCTGCAGCAAGGGATCATACGGTGTGATTGGCCTGGCTCTGAGTGGCCATAAAGTTCAGGGGGCGTCCGTGCTCCTTGACCAAGACGTTGGCACCGCGAAGGAAGCGGAGGCCACGGTCCGACGGCTAAAGGCAGCCAGGATTCCTGAAAGAAACACCCTGGGCTTCATGTTTGCCTGCGTGGGGAGGGGCCAGAACTACTACCACAACCAGCACAATGTGGAGGCCGACGCTTTTCACAAGGTCTTCCCCAATACGCCGCTGTTTGGTCTGTTTGGCAACGGCGAGATCGGCTGTGACCGGATCGTTAAAGACGACTACACCCTCTGCAACTCCGACTCCGACACCTTGCAGCACGAATACACCACCGTCATGACTCTGGTCCACTTTGGCTGACTGGTGACCAGTTCGTGGACCGGTTCTTGGTCCACGAAGAACCGGTCCACGAAGAGAAAAGAAGTCGACATGTTATGACACTTGGGTCAACAACAACTTGGAGCAGCAGACATTATGTACAAAGTGTCACCAAGGATGTCACCAGTGATGCTTACAAAGCAGGACAATAATCCCCTCGGCCATGAAGGTGTAAAGGCAAAACCTTTGGAGGTTTCAAGTCTTGGAAACTTTGAGAAGAAAGGATTTGCCCAGAGTGTACATACTGACAACAAATTCTGCTTGCGTTAGTAGTATGTTTATGTCTTTCACCCCAACTTCCTCGCACACTGAAGACATATTTTTCCCCGTTGCTGCACTTTTTTGTTCATGGAGGTAAAGAAATTTGGTTTGTTTTTCCTCCTCAAAATCAGGGTAAGCTTAAGCAAGTTTGACACAGTTTAGTCTCACCAGTGTTAACCCATAGATTTCTGGGTTTTTTTTGTTCTTTTTTTATATATATACATCTGTTTAATTCATCCAGCTGTTAGCTTGGCACGCTGGTCGTATTATCTCAGCTTACGAAGTCTTAGGCTTTTTTCAAGTTTTCTGCTCTAGGCAGAGGAAAACAAACAACTTTTGGGGGGGTTTTGGGAGGTAGCAGTATTTGGGTTTTTGGGTCATTACATGTTAGATTATTTGAAATGATAATTTGCCCTGAATGCCGAATATTTAGTTTGGCTGTTTCTTTTTCATTTTCAGATACAAGTTGTAGAAAGTGCTCAGCTTTAAAGATGTCTCTTCAGTGCCTAGATTCACACCTTGAATCTTTTTACATTTTGATTAGTGACAATATATTTAATTAGGATTTTGTTTATAGACCAACAAAAGGTCATAATAATTGCGAATATGAAGGAATATATATAAAGCAGTTTTCATTTTCACTTCACAATTATTTACTACTTGGTGTTGGTCTATGTATCACATAAATGTTAAATAAATACATTGAAGTTTGTGATTGACAGAATGTGGAAAAAAGTTAGGAGAAATAGGACAGCATTTCTAACAGCGCATTCAGCCCTCTAAAAATTTACTAATCTTGATGTTTATTTTTTTTTTAAACCAATGTTGAACAGTTTGTTGCTAATTGGTTCAGTTTCTTCATATACATGTTTTATCAGGTGATTGTTTTATCTTGAACGTTGCTGATGCGTCATTGTGAAAAAAAAAAAAGAAACTGCAACTGTGATTGTAACAAAAAACTATTTAAAACAAATCCAAAATCTTTTCTTTTTTCTCCTAGAAAATATTTCTTGTCCATTGTTTAGCTGTAATATAATACACCATGTATAGTTTTTGAAATAAATATGAAGATAAATTGTATTAGATAAAAGAAAAAAAAAAAGTTTGGTTATTGTCAGACTTATTTGTGCCCAATAAGATTTTCCTTAAACAGACAATAAATTAGACATGCTGTCAGTCTACTGTTAATATTGTTTGGAATCGAGTCATTCGACATTATTATAACATATAGCCTATCTTGAATTGGTAGATTTTGTCAAACTCCCTTTAAAGATGCGCGTCAGCCTCTTCCATCCTCAGCAGCCCGCATCCAGGCGTGTTTAAAAGAAGCAGCGACGCTTCAGATTGATGGATGCGCTCTTAAACCATCGACTGGCTGATCCCGATGAGTGACAAATGGTTAAGCCAATTGCTGCACAGGCAGTTTATATTCCCATAGTATCTTTATTTTGGGACACCAGAAAAAAAAAAAAAAAAAAACGTAGCTCATGACACCGAGAGGAGCGACCAACCAGGCGTAAAGCTAATAAAATCATCTGAGGCAACGATCCGATCCTAAATTGGCCTCAACTGGGGAGCCGCACACCTTTTACTTGCAGGTTTTTTTTGTTTGTTTTTCTTATCCCGCTCATGCACACAGATCCACCCCACGGCTAATGTTTTTACTGCTCTGTCGTGACCGGATCGATGCAAATGTCACACGACTCTCTGGCTACCGCCAGACTTTGGCACGAAAACGTCAATGTTTTGGCCGCCTGCGCGTGAAAATTTGCGGTGTTCCGTCCTCCCGCCGCTCCGGAGGCGCTTCTCTGACAGAGCCGAGGCTCCGTCGGACTGTTTTCAGCACCTGGACAGCTCCCCTCTCGCAGGGTTCCCCGCTGCGCACGTCGGGGAAGCCCTCGGCTGGGGAGCGCAACCCGGACCTCCAACTCAACTCGTATAATCCAGGGAGATAAAGAAAAAGAAAGGAGGGAGGGGGTGGGGGGTTGACTCGATTCTTGTGACTGCACTTAAAGCTAACATGGCTCTTGTTGAGTGACGATGATTCAATGCATTCGAGCTGCAGCCTCTGGTTTTGCACCGAAATCCGCACAGCGCAAGGGAGCAGCGAACGCAGCGGCGGTGCTCGTCCAATGCAAAAGTGCAGAGGATTGCTGCAGCCTACACACACTGCGAGCCTGCCGCCGCTGCTTCACTCACTGTGAGCGCCACGGAGGGAGACATTACTTTCTGCAGGGGAGCAACGGGAGGCACAATTGCGTATCAACAATATAAATCAATCACAGGTGAGAGGCTCTCTCTGGAGTTTGTACTGTTATTCAGTGCATCTAATAGCAAAGAGGTTCTCAGTGCAGGTGTGAAACATAAGCTATTATTACTGCTGGTTGGAGCGAGAGAAGTCTGAAAGACAACTCTGTTGATAGGCGGATGTAGAGCTGCAAGTCTGAATAAGAGCCGACGTCTAGGAAAGTTTGTGGCATTTCAGAAGCAGCTTTTAAAACTTGTTTTAATCTTGTTTAATTTGACTAAGTGTCCAAGTGTGCGGGTAGCGCAGTGCATGAGCTTTGTTTGGTCAAGAAAGACACCACGAGGCAGGGAAATGTTTCTAACAACAACAACAAAAAAAGTCAAAATATCTAAAGACATGTCTTAAAAGTATTGACATTTCCTGACGCAGTTCCAGACTTTATGTTACAGCCATACATTTTTATGTAGTTCATCAATGTGTTGGATCAATAGAGAGTGCTGCATATTTGAAAAGTTAAAGAAAAAAGGATTTACAACTAAAAATCTAAAAAGTGTAGCATTTAGCATGTATTCAGCCCTCACAGCAGCAGTTGTTCTCATCCAGGCTGACACAGGTCAGGTTGAAGGCTCCAGGGTTGTAAGAATGCATCCGGTACTGAGAAGACATACTGTGACCAGGGAGGTGGTCAGCATCAGGAGGCATCAGCTTTATTCATTAAAGAAAAACAAACAGAAAGCGTCAAAGTCATATGCAAGATGGGAGATATGTTTTCTCTTTTAGGTTTAAAGAGTTTTACATGGGTAATGATCAGAACTGCACTGTGAAATTAACCAGCAACTGCACCGTGTTCCAAATTATTTTGCAAATTGGATTAAAGTGTCGTAAAAATAATTTTTTTGTTGTTGTTGTGCTATTAAAGTTATATATCAAAGTTCTTTGAATCACTATAATCAATTTCAGAGAGCTGGGTGGATTAGTTTGTCTGGTAAGCTCAATTAAAGGGAGGATGTTCCACATTATCAAGCAGGCCACAGGTTTCAAGCAATATGGGAAATAGAATGGATCTCTGCTGATGAAAATCATCGGATAGTGTAGTGTCGGATGACAAGGTATGAAAACTTGAGATATTTAATGAAAATGAAGCGTTTTCATACTGTGAAGAGATTTATGGCTGATTCAGAACAGCAGTAGTATAAGAGAAATCATTGACAGGTTGAAAGACATGACAGCTAATAATTTTCTATTTATCAATCAAAGTGTGAATTTAAAAGTAACAAAAGTAGAACTTTTTAATCCGGTCACAGTTGTTTTTTGTTGCATTTAAAAGCTACTTTAAAATTAAAAATACTCTTAAATGGCTAACAGGAAAATTTGTAAGAATGTGAACCCTGAATGAAAAGACTCACACATTTTGTCTTGCTTAGGCACCCCTGCATGGCTGCCACAGGAGATTCAGAAATTTCTGAAACATGCATGAAAGAATCAAAGCAACACTCCAGGTATGTTTTTGGGTGAGGGAATAACATTATAACAAGATGTAAAGCTAAATAAGTTGAGTTTGCATAATGTCTCCTCTCTTACTCTTTAAAAGTCAATTATCTCATCTCTGATACTGAACAAATGTATGTGAACTTCTAAATTTTAAGGCATTTTCAAGAAAATCAAACATATAAATAAATCTCTCACTAAGTTTTCTGGCATTTAGCAAATAGAAATAGTTTTGATAATTCCAGCTAATGTAAAACAAGAGCAGTTTGCTGTGATTCAGATAGCGAGAAATTAAAAAAAAAAAAGTTATTTTTGATAAACGTAAACATCCAATTTCAACTGAATGCATTGGAATAGCATTAAAAATACTGTTTAGTTTGTATCTATTTTCCTACTAAAAATAGGTACAAAATAAAAATGATAGATTTGATCCTCCACATCAGTGATAAGTTTCACTTTCTCAGAGATCTGGATAAGCTCTTACTTTATTTGCAGAGCTGAGGCTCTTTTTTTGAAGCTTTGAGACATTTAAGGTGGGCACTGCACTGATTAACCGCATCCAGTTTGCTCTTAAAGACTGGAACCTCGTCTACTGCTTATCGATTCGCCTTCTTTTCCGCAGATGAGAGATTCTCCAGGAGAGTGTTGACTGGACAGAATCTGCTCAAAATGACATAATTTAAGTTTAAAAAAATTCTATGTATGTGTAAAAAGGGCACATAATCAATAGAAAGGGAATAATATTGAAGAAAATTGTTTTTATATAAATATAAAATAAAAAACAAATACATAAACTTAAAACCTAAAAGATTGTGCTTTTTAGTTTTTAGTTCTGCTTCCTTATCTTTTGAATTTTTGATTTTCCAGCTCAGACTTTTGCTTTTCCACAGAGTCGATCTGAGCTTCAGCCTCTCTGAGCTTCAGCCTCTCTGAGCTGCTTCTCGTCTCCAGTCAGGCTCCTCTGGTTCTTCAGCTCCTTATTCAACTGTTTGAGCTCCTCTGATTTCTCCTCATTCATCTTTGTGAGTTTCTCCTCTTTACCTATTTTATTTGCTGATCTTGATAGTCAAGGAACAACTTCCATGGAAGGAACTGATAAAATGCATCAAATTTTGAGTTTGAAATGAGATAAATGGAGAAAATAATCAAGGGGGTTAATACTTTTACAAAAAAATCAGAGACTGTAGCTCTGTTGGTTTTTTGGCTATCGTCTGGCTTTAGCAGCTTTGCACGTCCAGAGATAAAAACTTTGGCTATTTTTCTTTGTGACGCAGCTTAAACTCAGTCAGATTGGATGAAGAGTCTGTGAACATCAATTTTCAAATTTTGCTGTCTTCCCACAGGTGAAGCTTTCCGCCTTACTCAAGTCTTTCACAACCTCTCGCAGGTTGAAACCACGTATCATTTTCTTTCCAGTTAACAATGCTGCCTTGTTTTGGTACATCACATAAAACCTAAAAAAATTACACTCAAGCTTGTGTTTGTAACAATGTGGAAAAAGCTCAAGGGCTTTGAATAATACTGCAAGACACTCTATGGATTGTGAAATAACATTTTCCTGCTGCATGCAGCTGTGTTAGTTATAGTCGGACTGTACGTCTCTGAGTTCCTGACGGTGTAACTAGATGTGCTCTCCGCAGGTCGAGCATGAAAGCAGGACCTCTCAGGTGGAAAGGTGAACTGCAGCTCTAAAACAAAAGTAAGGGGAATCGCGTGGAGAGACTTCACCACCTCATCGCTTCCCTTCTCCATCACCCATCATTATGGCTAATGCTGAGTAAGTAAAAATCATAAACTGTGTTTACCACTGATCCAGCCACTCAAAATCTTAAAAAAACAAAAATAAAAACAAACTCTTTGTCCTTTAGTTAAACATTTCCCCCCTTTCTCTCACTCTGTCACCATATCTGTGTTTGTATTTCCATTGAAACAATAATGTATGGACTCACACTCGTCTGTCTGAATGAGGATGCACAGGTTGGGTCAGGCGAAAATGCTGACCGCTACGTTGATTCTTGAGGTGAAACGTCTTCTGTGTGTAATGTGTAGCGAGAGCAGACAGACAACAGAGGGAACATGAAGTTTACTGTGGGTCTCTGAGTGTGAGGAGAAAAAAGTGGGCAACACTGAAAACCGCTTCTCTCTGTCAGGGTATAATACTGCTGGCGTCGTATTACTCTGTAATTTGTCTCTTGTTAACGAGCTGCATTTATTCTCTTGACCTAGATAAATGGCCCCAAATCATTGCTCCATTTTGGCTTTCATAAGTATCTGAATGTATTCATGAAAGAGGAAGGCTGATAAAGAAAGGCTCTTGTATTATGCTCAGATCTCCTGGGGCTTTCTTTAAACTCCACTCTGTGCAGCATGTTGACGTGTGTCAAAATGATCCTTAACAGTTTAATGTTTTGCATTTTGTTGTCGTTT